CGTATGCTAGTTCCTATTAACATCATCATCACTATCTCCATTAGTAACCTGTTTTGATATATCCATTGCTACAATGTTATCGCAAAGCCCTCAGAATTCTCAACAGACTGCTGGCCGGTCGAGTAAGCGACGCAGGAAGCCCTGGGGCAAGTTTCGAAGCAATTCTCTACCATCTTCGTCGCAGCGGACGGATGTTCCTGACGATGACTCTGATAGATTATCAGAGCTCGACTCGGCAGACGTCCATGACCCTGCAGGCCTCCAGTATACCAACGACGACAGTTTAGAGGTCCTACAGGATGTTCCACCCGTATCTCAAACCCCGTTCAACTACTCTTGGGTCCGCTGGGAGGATCCAGGCCTTGCCGGAATGGCCCAACCATCCCGTCAGTTCAAGACGCGCGCGCATGGTGGTGGAAATACGGCGTACCGTTGGAGAAAATCGTGAGCTCGAAGGATGGCAGGGAGAAGAGAGAGACCTACTTTCTGTGTAGGACTTGCCATCTCCACCATCCTAAGGCAAACTGCAAGCTCAATATAACGTACGGCCGTCATAGTTGTCAACAATCAAGCCAATCCAAGCTGAGGCGTTAGCTTGGATTGCTCGTTTTTTGAGGGCGTCAGCTTGGATTGTTTGGACTAACAAGCTGAGATCGTGAGCTTGATTGAGGCTTGATTGATAGGCTTGATAGCCTGTACTAGCGCTAGCCTTAGTGTTGAGTTTCGTCGTCCCAAGCCGCTAGCCCGCACAAAAGCTCCATATTGTCGTCGTCTGCTGCCTCCTCCTCCATTACCTCGTCGTCGCCTCCGAGGCCAGCTCTTTGCCACCGTCGTACGCACTGTATTGCCGCTAGAAGTTGAGGTCCTAGACGTCGTCGTCGCGGCTCTAAGAGGTCGCCCAGCTCACTGAACAAGCGCTCACACTCACAGCTTGACGCTGGGATAGAGAGTACGTCAAGCGCAAGCTTACTGAGGCTAGGGTAGCAATCGCGCATGCTCACCCAGTATTTGATAGGGTTATCTGCGTGTTCTATACCTCTCTCGGCTGCTGGCTCGCTGCGCTTCCACCTCTTAAACTCGTCCTCGTCAGCGGTAAGGCTGCTAGCAGTACTAGGGTTAAGTATACTATCGATGGCGTCGTCTATATCGCTTGGGATCACTGCTAACGGCCTTACCGCGCGCGGTGAGGTGTTGTACTGCGCCTAGAGCGCCTGAAAGCTAGCGTTACTGGCCTCGAGCCAGTCGGGCTTCTTAGCCCACGCCTTGTCGCAGTAGTGTTTGTACATCGGATGGAGTATTGTAGCAGCGTAGTACGCGGGCGAGTCGTCTAGCTTAGAGTAGTAGTCATCAGCCTTCTGCTAAGCTGCGCGCAAGTTGATTGCAATGTAATCCTCAGGCGACTCATCATGCTCGTTGTAGTTAACCGCCTCGTACGCGTTAACGCGGTGCTCGTAGTAGGTAAGGAGGTATTCAAATATTAGAATTATATCAGAAATAGCCCCAAAGCTGCCGCTTTTGCCACGCCCTTCGAGGCGCTTTGTAGCAGTCTTAAGCGGTTTTAAGATGTCTATGTACTCTGTAATTACTGCCCAATCAGCACCTGTAAGGCCGTCTAATCGCATCCACGGCTGCGCAACTAGCAGCTTGTTGCCGCGACTCTGCGCAAAAGTGTCCTCCCTTTGCACCCGCTGTATATAGTAAGTAGCGTAGGCGTTAACTGCAAACTACAGCTTTACAGCACGCTCAAAGCATGAGTAGTATGAGTTCCACCGCGTAACGACAGGTTTAACAGGCTCGAGGATCTTGCGATCGTCAGCTAACGCGCTAGACGGCAGCTCAGTGTGGGCGAGGCGCTGGAAGTCCTCGAAGAGCTTATGCTGTTGCGGCGTTTTGATGTAGTTCATAATACTAAGCAGAACGCCAAGTGGGCCTACGCGCCTCCACTCCTCTATGAAGTCGTGCTCGTTAGTAATCTCTTGTACGTCGTTGTCGAACGAGGCGGCGCTGCCCTTGCCCCAGAGGAGCGTCTGGCCGATAAGGTTAAGCGTGTAAGGTCCGCAGCGGAGGCGGCGGTGGGTGGCATTAAAACCGTACTCTTGAGCTAATATCGCAATAGTACTGTTGTTGTTAGTAGCGTTATCAAGCACGAAGTAACCAATCGACTGCGACGTGATCTTAAAGTCCTGCAGCGTTTTTATGACGACCTCAGCCATTCTCTCGCCACTGTGAGCGCCTGCCAGCTGGGGCAGCGCTATAGGCAAATCCTGCAGGTCGCCTCTGCTGTCAACAAAGTGCGCAACAACGCCTAGAAAGCCACGCTTGCCGCCCTTTGTCGTCTATCCATCAAAGCTAAGGTGTACTTTGCTAAGCGCCTGCGACAGTTGCAAGATAACGCGCGGCTTTAGGTGCTTATACAAGCGCGCAACGTACTGGGAGACGCTTGCATGAGACGTCCAAAGCGCTCGTTCTGCTAGTGGGTTAGAAGCTTCAAGGAGGCGTCGAAAAGCTGGTGTTTCAAACTCAGAGAGAGGGTGATTGTTCTCAACAAGCCAGCTAACAGCTGCTAGCCGGAAGCGCTGGGTATTGAAGCCAGCGAGCTCATTAGCCACCTTCTGCGACACGCTGTTGTTGCCGTCTTTAAGCAGGCGTTGTAGCCAGGTAGGTTTTGCAGCGACAGCCGACTTGCTGTGGCCATGGCCGCGCTTAGGCAGCTCTAAGTGTCGCTGCGCTGACGACGTTGAGAGCGTCGTCTCATATATCCCGACGCCGGTATCTGTGTACTTATGCTCGTAGCAGTGACGGCACACGAAGTATAGCTTACTCGGGTCCTTTAGCAGCGCAACGCGGTAGCCATAGCGATAGATCCAGCTCTTGCGCGACTTCTGCGACGAGAGCGGCTTCATATACTTGCGTAAACGCCCCCAATCAACTCCCTCAAAGTCATCCATAAGGCCCGCGTCCAGCGCCTCTTGCAAGGTCTCATTATTTAGGGCTGCTGGCGACGAGGCTGCTGTTACCTTCTCGCTGCACTCGGTAGGCGCGATAATAGCGTCTTCAGGCCGCGACTCGCGTAGTTGCGACTCAAAAGTTGAAGCCTGGGACGCCTCTACGAGAGCTCTGCGAGGCGACAGACGCGACGGCGATGGCGATAGCTGACTATCGACGGCTATAGGCTGGCTAACACTGCCGCGGGCGGTAGAGGATTTGACGCGTTTCTTCGGGCGAGTAAGGTCATCAGAGGCGCGTTTCGTAGGAGGCATGGCGATGGCAATATGATGAGGGCGACGGGAGCAAAACAAGGACGCGATAGAGGGTTGTTTAGGTGGCTGGTGGAGGGAGTATAGTGTTGCAGAAGTTAGGCTGATTACGTACTAGTACTGCGACAACTACAACACCAAAAACCTATCGTGAGATCGCTCCTGCTGCAAAACGAGCAACCTCGCGTGCTACCTTAATCAAGCCTATCAAGCTGAACAATCAAGCTAAGCCACCTCAGCTTGGATTGCTAAAAAATAAATATAGGCGAGCTTGACTTGATGGGATTGATAGTTATCAAGCTATCAATCAAGCGCTTGCATGCCGCTTGATTGTTGACAAGTCTGACGGCCGTGCTGGGGCTCTTGATCACCGTAAGGCCTTCCATACCAATGCGTTTATGGACAACGATGCCCGCCAAGGTAGTGTAGGAGAAGAGGAAAGCATTTTAGAGATGCTCGATCTCAGTGACCCTATGCAGCAGAGGATTTATAATAAGCTCATAGAGCTGTCTGATCCAGATGGACTCAAAAAGGACATCCTACAGTGGATTATGTTTGATAATATCCCGTTTCAAAAGGTCAAGAGTCCCTATTTCCGCGCAGTATTGTCCCGGATTGCACCATTTTCAAAGAAGAACAAGTTTCTGTCGGCCCGAACAGTGCGGAGATGGACGCTAAGAGAGCTTACTCTCTATAAACAGGATATATGAAAGCTTCTCCACAACAGTTACCACAAGATACACCTTGCCTTTGACATCTGGACATTTTGGACAAACCGCGCCTTAAACGGAACAGTCGCTCACTGGGTGGATCAAGATGGCAGGTGTCAAACTGCCGTGCTTGCCCTGACGGGAATGGCTGATCACCACGGCGGGAAGGAGATCTGTGCGAACGTTCTTAAAGTAATCAGCGACTACAATGTTAGGGGTCGTATCAGATACTTTATACTGGATAACGCAAAAAATAACGACAAGGCAGTGGAGTTTCTTTGTGCGGAGCTCGAGCTGGATCCTAAAGGGAGGCGCCTACGTTGCGCTGGCCATATTATTAACCTTATCGCGAGGCAGGTCCTTTTTGGTGAGGACTACGAGATGTTTGAGCGCGACCTTGCTTTGATCAACGACCTTAAGGAAGAAGTCGAGCTGTGGAGGAAGAAGGGCCTAGTAGGCATGATCTATAGTATCGTTAAGTGGATACGGAACTCACCAGGACGCCTGCAGCGCTTCCATAAGGCCTAGCAGGATCTATGGAGAGAAAGGCATCTAACTTCTGGTGGAGAGCCTCCAGTACTTAAGATAATCTTGGATAATTCTACTCGGTGAGTATAGCTATCTACAAGCAGCGCTGAAAGTTTGAGGTTCTAGCTAACGATGTTATGCAGGTGGAACTCGACGTTTGATATGCTAGTACGAGCGATTAAGCTTCGTGTCGCGATAGATCACTTCTTGGACCTTGAGGCGCTTCGTTACAATAATCATGTTAAGCAGAACGCCGCAACGCCCTTGAATGAACGGCCTGCAACGTCAGTGACCCGGGTTATCCTACAGAACCGGATGAGATCCGACGACTGGGCTATCGCGAACGAGATCGCAGAGATTCTCGAGCCCTTTAAGGATGCGACGAAGAAGCTTGAAGCCAGGCCGACCGAAGCGTCAGCGAGTGGCTTTGCGGATGTAGTCCCTGTCTTAAAGATCCTTATGGAGAATCTCGAGGACTTTAAGGTTAACTACTACGAGGGCATATGGCGGGAAACCGTTTTGGGTGGCCATCGAGCAGGCGTGGCAGAAGGCAAAGTACTACTACGAGGTCACGGATCAAAGTCCGGCGTACGCCGCTGCGATTGTTCTTGATCCGCAGCAGAAGAAGCCATATCTTGATCAGGAATGGGGTAACGTGTGGGCATCTCACTCAATGGTCAGAGTTAAGAGACTATATCATACGGAGTACGAGAAGCTTCCTCTCCCTTCGCCACCACCTTTTGGAGAGGCACTGGGCGAGGTATCTGGTAACCGACGTCGACGTAAGAAGCCAAAGTACCAAAGGATTGATGAGCAGCTCGAGGATACCCGAAAGTGGCCTATCCCATCCCTCGTTCAAAATGAACTAGATGCCTATCTTACTGATCGGCGGGAGACCGACTTATCGATCGTCCCGTTCAAGTACTGGATGCGACCTTCTGTTAAGGCGCAGTACCCTAAGCTCTCTTGCATGGCGATTGACCTCCTCTCGATCCTAGCTATGAGCGTGGAGCCAGAGAGGATATTCAGTTTAGCTGATGTTACTCTTTCTCCGCGTAGAAACAGACTTACTGAAGATGCCCTGGAGGCAGTCACATGCCTGGCGAACTGGGGAAGAAACAGTTTAATTAGGGTAGGCAGCCATAAACAGGATGTAAGAGGGTCTCAGGTTATTAGTGAGACGGCAGAGGAGAACGACGACTATCTCCCTTCCCTCTTTGGGTTCGTTGACGACGACTATGGACCTCGCTTTGAAGAGTCGCTGGCGGACAGTAGTAGTAGGAATGGAGAATAGATAGTACTACTTCTATCTATCAGTTTGCTCCATCATAGACTCTCGATTAGCAAATTTTATATCTACTATAAGAATAAGTGTTGTTTGAAACACCTAGGCGTTTCACTACCCTGATTAGTAATAACTTTAAAATGTATGGAGTCTCCATGGAGGTATGGAGATGGAGGTGGAGACTCCACCTCCCTCCATGCCGATCCCTGAAAATGATCGATTTACACTCAATCTTTGGTCTGGTAGACCCTTGTTTGTTTGCAGGCTGCTAGGCAATGGGGCATTGATGTGATAAGCTTCTCGATCAACGAATTAGGTATGGGCCATATTGTATGGCATATATACACGATACTAAACTCTGACGGAGAGCGCATATGGATATCTGCAGCACTTCTTACATGAGCAATCATAGCCTGCGTAATGAACCAATAGCGCTATCGTTTTAGTCGAACACAGAGGGCGATGGTTGACAGGAATGGATTCAGCTCGAACTAACATGAGGCTAGCTCTCTTCCACATCATACCGTTTTTCGTCCTCGTCTTCGTCTTCATCCTCTTGCGCCTGAGTGACAGCTCCATTAGTGCGGTATGATTCGACTACACCAGTATCAACAGCATGGTTGGTCGCGAAGAACGCATGCTCGATACCCAACGGACGACCCCGGCACACGTAGCCAAGCGGAGTGTGCATAATATCCTGACCCCTGCGACGAAGGGAACTCCACTCCAGGATAAAGCTGATTGTTTCAGTCGTTGTTGCATCGGATGGCCTATTCAGGCTGGCACTATCGATGTACTTCACTAGAGACACACATTCCTCGTATTCCATGTACAACCGGCCCGCGAAGATACCGAGTTCAATGATAAGGCTTTGCGGAATGATGTGTCCGCCCTGAAGTGCTGGCAGAGAGTAGTATCGTAGACCACTGAATGGTAGCATCTTCTTTGTGGCTGGTGCTGAATACGTGAGGAGGTGGACTTTGGGAGGGGATGCTTGAGTGCGAAGTTGAGGAATCACAATCTCTGTTTCCTCGGCGATGATTATGAGTGCGTTGAAGGTGATGGGGTTGTAAAGAATCCATTCGACGGGACGCTAATCAGATGATTAGTATGTTAAGAAAACGCGAAAGACGATGAACTCACCAGAAAGTTATCAATCGAGCCACCCTTGTTCGTCTTGATTGTCTTCATGAACTCCACCGAAACAAACAAGCAAGATTCTGTTCCTACGATGTCAAACCTCTCGCCGATAGACGTGCGTGAAACAGCATCAAACACGTGTTCATATCCCATGTCTCCACACAGACGACCAGTACTCACAAAGCCAGAGATGGCAGGATGAAGTCCAGGGAACTCATGAGCTTCATAGTGTAAGGCTTTCTGCACTTCACGCACTTCTTCAACTTGGAATTCCACCTCGCGTTCCTGTTCTACCTCCTCCAGCGCAGAGGAGAGAAGGAGGCTTGCGGTCTTTGCCGTACTCAGACGCAGGTGGTTGAGCTTGTTCTTGAAACTTTCGAGCCGCGGGAACATTTTCGTAAGAGGGGATAGGCTGTGGGTTTCTTCCGTGCGGCCTCCATATAACTGCTCAAGTGTTTGTTGCTCAGGGTGTTGGAGCACCTTAACATATGCAATCCTGTCTTGAGCGTTGAAGAGAAAAGCTGCGTTCTCCCATTCCGCATTCATGCGATTACAAAAGTCAGTACCCTGAGAGATGTAGAGATTTTGGAGCTGTTCATTCGTACGGCATGTCTGTTCCAACAACCAATGAACGACATGAGAAGAGTCGACTTTGTCGTTTTCGTTCATTCCACAGACGTCAAGAATGGACTGGTGTGTCTCTGGAAAGGCAAAGAAGCAGATAGATTGAGTAGTTGCAAGCTGCCGAAGGCGCATGGCAGCTGGATTCAACGTCAGCTTTGAATACCTTGTAGATCAAATATTTTCACTCACCTTGCACAGTATGATCCTTGGTCTGCCCAAGAGCAAGCGTCAGCGCACCGCAGGCATATTGAGGCAGTTTCAGATCTATGCCTCGCGTGTGCGCTTCATCCAGGTACACGAGACAATTGTCTAGATTGTCGACGAATGGGGTTGCTAGCAAAGGGACTCGCGCCTTAGTACCACGATATCGTACCCAGGCTCGATTATCAGCGCCAAAATACACAGCTGCCGGTGGCTCAGTATCTATCTCCATCCATGCCTTGACCAAATCTTCGTTACTCATCTCGAGTACGTAGGCACCGGCGTCGATGAGAATGCGGATCTTCTTGTCCCTGAGTTGTCTAAGGAATCCTGTCTCTGACAATCGCCTTCCGGCATGAGCTACGATATGGTATCCACGGTTTCGTTCTTGCAATAGGTAGGTGAGCACCTCAGCGTTAGTCTGATGCAAACTTGGCAGATCGCTCTGCTGGATGGTGAGCGGCAGCATCATTTTGTTATCGTTGGTACCGCTAAAACCAGTAGTCCTTGCACGTGTGAGTGTCTTCTCGGATTCTGTCCGCGAGAACAAGGGGAGATCCCATCCAGAGGCCTGTAGCTTGATGTCGAACTGTTTGGCGTGCGCGGGAAATACAAAGTGATTCATGTAGTGATCGAGCACGATGCTGTTCGTTCGAAGATGCCTCCAGAGTTCCTCCACCTGATCATGGTCGTCGGAATTGATAACGTTCCAATGATGCAGAGCCTCCGGAAGCGAATCGCAACTGCTAGTCCACCTGTCGTACTCGCTAGCAGGGTCATGTGACGCGAGAATATGACGAAGAGCTTCGCGGAATTGAACTGGGCTGAGACCAGTGTAATAGAAAGCCAGGCAGGTGAGAAGAATCGCAGCGTCAGGGTGTCCAAACTCTGCCTGCTCGGAAGGAATGCCTTTTGCTTCAAAGGGCACAGCCATCGGATCTCGCTTAGGGTGCAGCCCATACTGTACGTTCCAACGCTTTCTGAGACAAAACAGCAGTATTCGATCGCGCAATAGACCCCGAACAAGCAATAGTGTTTTGAGTGCAATGTTCTCGTCAGTGAACAATTTAGCCACACGTTCCAACAACTTCCTGTCCAAGTTCTTTTCGAGGAGCACTCTACGCAAGTTTGCGTTCCAGCTATCCGAAGTACAGTCTGCGAAGCGAAGAAATGACGTCCTTCCTGTACAGATCTCATCAACTATGCGTCGGTGCAGATCCTCCTCCACATCTGCTTGAAGGATGTATATCATCGGATAACCCTGGCCGCGCTCTAGGACTTCGATGTTGCGCGGAAATTTCCGCCCAAGCTCTGGAAGATGATCTTTCACCAGTGATAACAGCGATTGCGCTACTTTCCAGCGGTGCGGGTGTCCATCCACGGTAGTCTGCTTGCCGCTCGGGTAGATGAGTTGGGTCTTTACCGCCAATGAAACATCCGATTCGTCCAGGATGTCCCGAGAAATCGAGCTTAGGTATGCCTGAAACTCAAGCATTTCGCGTGCAGTCTCCAAGTTGGAGCTGGCAAGATGTTGAAGGCCACTAAGCTTGTAGGAGAGAAGGTGTTCAGGCGCAATCAACATAACACCCCGACTATCTAACATTTCCCGATGGAGGTCTCTATAGAGCTGAAGTGTTTGCGGGTTGATGTTGGTTTTGCGGGAGAAGGGAATGTGTCGTATCTCGCGACCGACCAAGCCGCCCAGTCGCGACTGAATCATCTGCGCAGTCGGTAAAAGCAATGGCTTAGGTACGATGAGACGCGAAAGCTGCTTGCCGTCTCCTATCGACGCTATTGCCATCGGAACAATACACGACGTCTTGCCTAGTGGTGATTGTCAGAGGGCGCTTTGTGTCTACAGTGTTCTCGACTTACCTTTACCCATGTTCAACTGCAACACCGTGTTGTATCTCGATTCTGGTGCAATGATTGCATGTGCAACATCGACCTGCTCCTGTCGGATTAGAATGTCACTATCAATCTCTAAGAGAAGCCAATCCGGCCATTCTAGTGGACTCCAACTCTCATGGCCAAAGTTTCCAAGTTCTTCTTGAAGATCCTTGACCTTACCATGATACAGCGCGTTGTGGATCCGTGTCAGTCGCTGCAACTTCGTGATGAGGATACCATGTGCCACAATCGCCTCTTGTACGAACTCCCCGAACTTGCAAGACGAGCTCGAGCGCAGTTGCTCCAAAAGCGCGATCGACGTTGTGCAAGGCCAGAGGTTTCCAAGGTGTAGCCATGAGAAGCGGTCGTCATTTTTGGATAGAGCTTCGTGAATCTGAGACAAGTGAGTGGCTACCATCGTACAAAGATCTTGGATGCGTTTTGCGTTGACTGTGATATCTGGGGTAGTATGCGAAACTTGAGTCTGATTACTGGTTCTCTCCAGGGCGTCAAGACTCATCTTTAGATCAAGTCCATACTGTTGGCGGAGAGGGTTGGATGCCTGCGCGAAAACCGAAAGGATCTGCCGTAGCTCAACGGTCTCCTTGCCTGACATCTTTGCTCTCGTGTTCTCCTCCATACCGGTAGGAAGTTTACTGTCTCTAGGCAGTAGCAGCTCGCACGCCCGGGGTCCGAAAGGTACTGCTAGCGATTTACGAAGAAGATCTTTCGAGATCGATGGTACGACAGGATCATAAGTTTTCCCAGAAAATGGTTCTTGTTCCCACTTCCAAGCCTCAGGACGTGACGTATCACTCCTTCCCTTGTGATGTATTAAGACGTCCTGCACATGAGTTATGTACTCTGAGAGGGATAGGTTCGAATGCAAGCGCTCCCACTCAGGCACGACACGCTCCATTGCGAGCCCTACATCAAGGATATCCGAATCGAACCCGTTCAGAGTAACTTTCTTGTGTGGCCATTGATCAAGGAAGTGTTGCGCTAATCGTTTCCCCTCAGCTTCACATGCTTTTCGATGCTCTGCTTCAGCCTTTGTCTGCATTCGCTGACGCTTCTCCGGTAAGTCGACAGAGATTACACGAAAGATGGATTGTATGCCAGGCAATTCGTTAAGCTTGAACTGGCTGAATGAGGGACAGGATGGAGGTATTGAGTTTCTCAACGTCGGCAGAGACGCAAACGCTGCCAGGATCTTGATGGTGTTTAGGTCAGTTGTGGGATTGAGCGACATAACACTCAGGCGGAACATCAAGCTGTAGGGCTGATCAAGATTGGAGTGGCGACAGATATTTACAAGACCGCCCCATTGTTCATTGACGCTCTTCTCCACCAGGTCGCTTAGACTCGCGGCGTCGGTCTGACGTACCTTATGGAACCCGCCGATAAGCTGCCAATCCTGCAATATTGCAGAAAGCTCTCTATGTGTGTAAATCTGGAAGGGTTTCTTCCGGAACAGGTTCGCAATGTGATAAACGTTGCGTGCTTGTACCGAATCAGCTTGCTGGCCACGGGATTTGTACATCCGACCACTAGCTGCCGTTTGAGTCGTGCCGTCGAAATTGCGCTCATAAAGGCGGCGCTGCGCAAGACCCCGTTCCCTAAGGTGAGATGGGATGTATGCATTGATTACATCCTCAGCTGCATTTTGAACAAAGAGCCGCAGGCGGTCCGACTTCTCGAGTATCTTCTGCACAAGCCCTTCGTATGCATCATGCTGAACGGTCATGGTAAGCCTTGTATTCCAGGAAACTGTTTGCAGTGCTTGCTTGTGCTGCGGATAGTACTCTCGCTTTGGACTAAGGTCTGCAATTGTCTAGAGAGTGTTGATTGCTGTACCTCCCAACGGTTCCCATGGTTGGCAATGACCCGACTGGAGCATGTGCAACGCTTCCTCGGTGCCGGTACGGCCAGTCAATGGATCGGGTATGACGAATGATGTATATGCATGGAACTGGGCTTTTGCGTACAAAAGCCGCGGCTCGAAAGGGCATGACAAGCGTCCAAGTACATCGTCGATTCCAAATTTTGCGTAATCGGTGCTACCAGCCGCTCGGACAGCCACGTGCATTCCACGGCGTACAGATGATATTGGTCCGCACGGCATGATTACGCTACGACGCTTACTGTTTGCGACGTCACGCAGTACAATCTTGCTGTCGAAACCGTACAATGTGCCAGCGTCTTGATCGGGATCGATCTCTTCATTCAACTCTCGGCACTGGAGAAGCCCTTTTGAGTTCACGAAGAACGACAGTTCCAAATGGCGTAGCTCGACAGATAGCCTTCCCCTTGAGTTGAAAGGCTGAAAGATGGTAATCTTGCGTGAATCTTCAAAGTGACGAAAGAGATCTGCAACTTGCTTGGAGAGGTGAGAATTAGGATCGATCAATAACGTTCGGTTGCTTCGATGAGCCTGCCGTTTGATAAGGTCAATCCTCCAGTCGCTCATCCTTGTCTTCCACAGAACAGGCTTGCGTCGGATCTCAAGACATCTTGTGTTCAGATTCAACCAATGCGCACAATTGGAGATGAGTCCATCAGGAAGGTCCGCAGTCTCGGGCCCGACGAAAAGGTAAGACGGAATATATTCCAGCAGCTCGTCCCGAGTCCAAGCGCGGACGATGATGCGCCCGTTACGAGATCCAAAATGTATCTCATGGTTGCTTATCCGCGATGCGAGAACATACGACATGCCGAACGCAGCAGACGGAAAGGTGAGAAGATTTCGGTCACCAAAGAGCTCTCTCACCTCATCTGACTCTCGAATATCGCGTGGAAGTCTTCCTAAGGGCTTTCCATCGACGAGTAAGTGACCCTCCATGAAGTTGTAGTGAACTACTTGCGTGTTTGCTTGGTCCTTCATCGAAGCCTGCATAAAACTTACTACCCATCGATCATGTATGGGTGAGACTTGCTGCCAGTTATGGAAAGATTTCTCAGCTGAACCTCCCGGTTCTGACCATGATGCGTTGATAGCCATGCCGATACTTCGAGGATGGGCTCTTATGGACCGTAGTAAGAGCGATCTGATCTTGTACGTTGTCTTGGTATCTCGAATCAATATCCTCTTCAGGACTGGCGGCAGCTTGGCCACATCCACAAGGAGGTTTTCTTGAAGAGCCAATGACGCCTGGACAAATGTTGACAGATCATTCTCTGACATGGCAGCGTCGGACTTTGTGATGTTGGAGAATGTCCTACGGCAGAGCAGTGCCGCCCAAAAAGCATACCTTGCGGCTGTTTCCGCGATGGACGTTTCTTTGGCATTTCTAACATCGGCTCGGAGACGTGTAACCCAAGCCAAGGTGATGCAACGTGCCTGAACCAAGAGACCATTTGCTCGCGTCATGGGGGCTGCCAAGTCATAAAGGCGCAGACTCAACGTAATCATAACCTCCATACAGTGAACCTCACGCCAGTTTGAAGTAATGTCACTCAGGCGTTTTTCTACTTGTGCGGCCAGGCAGTCACAAAATGACATATCCTTGAATACCGCATGAATGTCGCCGAATGTATCATAGTTACTCTTTGCCGGCCCAGCTTGAGTGGCAAGGTGATTGAACATGTGCATTGTACTCTCGTTGCTGAAGTTCATATTCGATGCGCCTAGTTCGACCAACATCGTCAGCCATCGACGATTCTTGCCTGAAAGCAGTCGCTGGCAAGCCGTGAACTCATGTACCGACAAGCTAAATGGACACTGCGTTTCCGATGCGACGATTTCATATGAAGATGGCCCAGTTGTCGCCGTGGGAGGGTGCAACGAGCTTGGTATCACGGAGCTTCGGAGCCCAAGCGGCACATGTACTCCGCACTCATGTTCGAAGGTCAATGGTTTGTCGAAGTCCTTGACCCAGGTATTCGAAACCATGTCGAAGTAGGAGAAGTTCAATCCATTGGGATAAAGTACATCGGATTCAGATGCCTTCATCTTCTTCTTACTGACCTTGTAGTGCGTGCCACGGAATGATTTAGATGTTGATGCAATAGTGATACCGGTGGAGTGTCCCGACGCATACGCTCTAAGCGGGTCGTAGTCTCCCAAGAGTTTTGTGGGCGATCCGGACTGCGGTTTGGTAGGGTACGCCATCATGAAGATCTTCCACGTTGCATTGCGATACGCGGCAAAAGACTTTGGCATGTCCAACTCGAAGATGACTGCTGCTGCTTTGATCGCATCGCTAGGAAGGAAGTCCTCGTGCGCATAGATCTGCATGCGGTTTCGAGTTCGCCAGTGCCAGCATTTGGTACATCCCCTTACGTCTCGCGTCCCATCACGTTTGAACGTGCAGGTACATGTGCCTCCAGAGATGCCCAAAGAATGATTGTCAAACTCAGACCACCATGCCTCCAACTCTGACGTCTTCGCCCGGCGAGATGCCTCCGATGCGATTTGTATCCTTCGGTGCAGTTGCTGCATTGAGCTAGAGGTCGAAACATATCTCACAACAAAGCTCTCTTTCTTGGGCTTAGAAAATATGGTCGTCTGATGCTTGCATCCCTCGCATCTACTGTGAAGATGACTCTGGATGTCACGGAGTCGCCGCATTCCCGCGGCGGTCGGTAGATGCAGAGCATCTAGAAGCTCAGGAGTAAACACTGGGTGGTACTCCAGGATCATAGGGCAGATCTTGGCCATGTACTTGTCCAGCCTCACCCAAAGTCCAAAAAGGCTCAGAATGAAGATGGACATTTGCTCAGGGTCGGAGTCGTACATTGCCCCAACACTGTTCATGAGATCGAGTATTGCACCTGCTAGCTTTTCGCAAAATGACTCGAGAGTAAGATCTTCAGTTAACTGAGGTTCTTCCCTTCTTTCGATCTTGCTCTCCAATTCAGTCAATCGATGGTACTTGTCTGTAAACTGCTCAACTTGCTCAATCGTGGTACCGTGTAGTGATGGAAGCCGCAAAGATGGGGAGGTTCTCTTCTGTGAGCGACGTGATTCCAGGACACTTTGGAGGTATGATCCACTGTTGGGAAGAGACAGGAATTGGGCTTGCTGATCAGCACGTGTGGGGAGCTGGGGAACAGGCCGTGTCGTGTCTCGCTTGAATTTCTCCCAAGCTAAATTCACCAGCTGGGTGACTTGCGTGATACTCTCCTCGAAGAAGGCTGTAGTAGCGTTGGATAGCTGGCCGTGCACTTCCAATGATCTATTCTTCTCTTGCTCGAGTTTTGCAAGGCGACAACAGATTTTGGCTCGCAGGATCATCGTCAGCTCAGGTGCCAGTCTTCCCGGGCACTCGAGCAGAAGCTCAACAAGCAGAGTGGTGATCAAGAACTTGTAGCAAGCTCTTCCAGCCCCGTTTCCTAGCGAGAGTTGTAGCTGTCTCTGGATCCCCACGCGTATTGCAATCCAGAGAGGCAATCTCCGCCACGGGAGTTCTGTAGCCTCGATATTCGCATCATCACGAACCCGTTTCCTCAAGCGAGGAACGTCTTCGTCTACTGGTGACCCAATAGACTCGAGCAAGGGTATGAGAAGGTGCGTTACAAGCCCCGGACTTCCCGTATCACGCGATTCGACGATCGGGGTTTGCGCTTTTGTCACGAACGTCTGGAAGCATCTCAAGGGCTCTATGCTGCCTTTTTCCAGGAATTCGGCTAGTGCGTGTTGGAATGACGGCTTTCGAAACTCATTGAGTGGTATCTGCGCCGAGCAGTCGGGGAAATCGCAGATAAGGGTGCCTTCGCTAGCCAGAACCTCGGCAGATGGGGGCGATATCTCGAAAGCTTCGAATATGACAGCTTCTGTTTGAGTACTGTTGTAGAATATATCAGCTGCGGAATTCATGCTGTGCCGATAACCATAGGCAGCAGACATACCTGACATTGTAACGAACGATAAGCGCGGCGTTCTGTTCTGCGATATGCAGGAGAAGTGGTTGCTCCTGATCGAAGTTGCGAAATTTCGAGATTAGTGACAGCTTCTCGAGCCGACCATGTACATGGAGAGATTGATAGCGACGAAGGTACTGACGAGTCGCATACCAGGGAAATGTCTTTTCTTGGCTAACGAGTCGGCTCAGAGTAAATGTAGCATGAATGAGTCGAGCGATGATGGCATCACCAGTGCTTTCAATGTTGGTGTCCTGTTTGCTAGGAAGCTGTGGTGGTAAAACAAGGTGGTTGAACACTTCCATGAACACGGACATGGCGAAAGGTGGGATACTCAAAATTCAGCTGCTAGCAGAAGGTGAGCTTCGCGGCAAGTCATTACGAGAAGCTAGGTACCCATCGAACACATAAGTCAAGCCGGAAGTGACTGCAGAATTAGCGCAGCTAAGCGATTGTTTCGTGTAAAAGCGTGCAACACGGTGACGCGCCAAGCTACGCAACCCAATAGAGTCAAATCCTTGGAATCGGATTCATACAAGATAGACTAGGTTCCATAAGGCTAGACCCTTCTATATTGAACCATGTGAGTTGCAGTGCGAGGTGCAGGATTGCAGGATGCAGCAAGCTTACGTATGGCTGCAGCAAGTGCGTTGGGAGTACCGACAAAGTTACCTTACCGGAATCTTGGAATTTCTGTATGGTAACACATACTATATTTTTTTTGACTTCCTCTGGCATGTCTTCCAGCTCAGCTGGGAAGCTGGTACTTGGACGCGGTCAAGGATATTCGACTTTTTGTTATGGATTACTGACCGTCAAGCTAATTTATACGCGATACATAGAGATGTCATGGAAGTTAAATGACAGATGTGGATTCGTAGTCAATTTTGATCCTCAATAAGAACAAAATTGTCATGAATACTTCTCTGGGGATGATGCTTGGGGGTATCTTATCAATAGCAAAATAAAGCGCCAAGCTCCATTCGAACAGAACCTTTCCCGATACTCCCTTTTCTCAGTCAACGGGTTTGTTTGTCCAGACAAATCGATGCCCATCCTGGCAATGATGTTAAACGGATCACATGTTAGCTTGTCGCGCTGCAAAGATTGACGCTAATGACTATTTGGGATATTGCGGTTTGCATATATCGTAATTTACCGATGCGGGCTAGCTTGCCATGCGCAATGGCCACTACCCCACCAGTACTGACCAATCGTGGATGTATACATCTATGTGACACTGCAGGAGAACCTCAGCTGTTCAAAACAAAGTCCTTCGTGCGATGAGTATGTACATAACGAGTTTGGGTTACGTGTTGGGTTGCGATACACGACGCTGAACAGCTCTCTGCATGTGGATGGGGTCTGTTTAGGCCTTCCCCATCATCGTATTCGGTAGAGAGGGTGCTTCTTGCGTATCGTAGGAAGATAACATTGTACTTGCAGGGTGGTGGGCTGTTGCTGCACCTATATCGGCGCCTCTACGTCACGCATATATGCGCCAGGACTGGTGCGATGGCTTCCCCCGCACGACAAGGCATATGCGATGCTCTTTAACCCGGCACGCAAGAAGCACTTCGACTTTATTTCAGGTCAGTGTTCACAGTGAGATTCTCGTAGTTCCATACGCCTGAGCACAAGCATAGCGAGATAGCCGATGACTGTCGATCACTGGCGATGAAAACGTTCTATAACGGCAGCCCAACCCACATTTCAGTTCAGAGCACAGGAGCTCCATCGAGAACAATCAGAGAGATTACAGCTTGCGTCCTACTTGCTCTTGATACCTTACCTGCAAAAATATGCGGACTCAGTGTACATCAAGTACATGATTCGATGGTGTGCTGATCCCTTCGCTGAACTTTGCTATGCTGCACCCCCCACAACCTTACCCAGTTACATGCAGTGTTTATCGGTCAGATAATAATCGAATCACTCTTATCGCAGAGTGGGGGATGGCATTGTTCGCCGGTCATAGCTCACATCTTTTGGTCTCGACACGTTCCAGCTAGCATGCTTGCTCTGCCAATCGCACATAACAAAGTGAAGTATGTAAACATTTGGCTCATGTGCAGCTTAATCTATGTCTTGAGAGCCGTATACATCAACTGGTTGTTATTCCACAGTGGTTGATTTGTTCTAGCAAGAGATATGGACCTATCAGAAGCTCGAACTATGCCAACTAGGTTGCAGTCGTGGAAGATCTGGTACTTCCTTCATTAGTGTTGCGGGAGGCGGATTTCCGAATGGATAAGAGCTCAGCCTGTGGTCGTGTGTATTGAGAGTAACGCAGTGGGAGGTGGAACTTTTGTACTACGATATTAAAGGTACATCTGCATGCTTCCCATAGATTCACATTGTTGAGCGCTCAGCTTTGCGTTTGCACCCCACTGTCATTCGTCTAGCGAACCGATACGATCTGGATGCAAAACGTTTCACTTTCTCTGTATTGGAATTTGTTAACTTTATGATCGACGAGGTATGCCGGTGCAAGATATGAGTATTTACACATATAGTACTAGCGTTTCGACTCATGCAAACCCCGAGAATTGTCGTCCGGAGGTGGACTGGAATCGATGCGAATGTGACAAGGCTGTGTCAGGCATGGATAGTAGCATCAGGCATTTGTGCCTCCAAGTGTGGGGTTTCACCGGAAAGCCACTGATAGATTCAAACCCCGCACGTGATTCGGTTTGATGAGGAAGCTAGTGAGCGCTCGTAGACATTCAAGGAACAGGCGCAACATATTGTGGCTGCATTATCTCGAGGTAATGTTGCGCTAGCTTTGATTCCAGCGTCCAACAGGCCCGGCCAAACCTCCCAAGCGGTCCAACATGGATGTATTGCCACGTGCATATCCTGACGTTTGCCTTGCATGAAACCCTGGTGCACTGGGTTACACAACAGTTGCGGTGTGCTAGCTCAGCTTATATGGAGGCTATCGCACGGCGCTATCAGTGATAAATTCCGTGTTCGCGACAACGCTTGGCCTGCGACAGCTCGTTTTAAGGTCAGAGAAATTGACCACCTTACACAGGGTCGCCACATCAGCTAGTACCTCAATAATAAATCAGAAATCAAAACGCACCACTGTGTCCACTAATCGATTCGATCTGATTAGTGGCTCGCTGCGGTTTACCATAAGTAATACATGTTGCACACTTGCCCATCTACAGTTAGAGCTTATATGTCGTGCTCATCAGTCTGATGCAAGTGTTGACTTTCTCGCGCAGAACGTTGTTCGGCAATCTCATGTCTGCCCAATGGCATTGCGCTCATTCAACAAAGCATAGTTGGAGGAGATAGCGTGTTCTGCTGTGCAACGTTGCGCAACTCAACAAACATCGGCTGATGATCTAAGTTGGCTACTCCCTCCGATATCCATGAAGGAAATGAGTCTTTAAGGATTCAGCAGCTTTTATCGCATCTCAAAGCCATCACCGTTACCTTCCGACATCAGCCTGGTGCCAGTATGGTTTCTCGAGTCGTCGCCACGATATGTCGCTCCGACTTGAGTGACCGTTTGGACCCTGCTCATGCGACAACCACAGAGTTTGAGTACCTCGCCTCTTATAGTTGGCTGGAGAGCGAAGTACCTACCATTTTAGTACCTGGTAAGTTGTCCAAGAGAGACCCTTGTCAAGTATTTCGTTTTAATGGTCAACAAAGGCTGGGCACCTCTTTGGTCTCCGCCGGCGGGACCACTAAAACTGGAACCCGACTCCGGACGAGTGTACATTGACCAAAATGCGGCGCGAAGCCCGGATGCGCCTCTCGAGCCCTTGTTTGGTGCACTATCCGCTCAGAAGCCTAATTTCAAGATGGGAAGTGTCGACGTGATCACGGATCGGAACAATATCAGAAAACTTCTCCGCTTCCTCGGTGGAACTTCTAGCGAATCCTTTCAGATACGAGTCGAAATTGTCGAGGGTAAGAGAGCGTTGTTTACGCGCATGGAGAATGAGACCACCACTGTCGTTCGGGGCTTCCAAGGTTACGGTCGGAACTTCGAGAAGGCGTGCACAAAGAGCGCGACCAGAACCTCTGGATATTACAGAATCACCAGCTTTCGCTTCTGTGGCTTGCAATGCGTGGTCAGACACGAAACTGATGGGTATATTGATGACGGATTAGGGCGGGCCGCGGTCCATAAGCAGGCAGACATGACTGACTCACTGCCGCAGTTACTCGAAACTCTGCAGCTCGCAGATTCTGTTTCCGCATCGAAACATACAGCCCATATTACAGTTCAAAAAGAGGGGAAAGAAGTAGACCTTTCTTCCATCGTGGAGGCCAAGACTCGAGCTGCTAGTAAGAGCCTGGACATGGACGAGACTGCAGCTCAGCTTTGGCTATCACAGACTGCCCACCTAGCGATCGGCTATCATAAGAATGGCCTTTTCAACGATGTCCAGATCCGAGATATGACCCAGAATGTCCGAGATTGGGAAAAGAGCAACAAAAAAGTACTTTGTAGTCTGGGCTATCTGTTGAATGAGATTATCGAAGTAGTGAAAAATAGTGCCAGTCAAGTCGCAGTTGTCAGGTACGACGGTGGAATGAAGTTGGAGGTCATTGCTGGTGAACAGGAGAAGGCTCCGTCAGAAGGTGTAGACGCAAACTGGCAGGGTGAAAAACAGGGAATCGAAGACAGGACCCTGATGGCAGAGAAGGGAGATCAGTACAAGGTCAGTAATTGAGCACATTGATAATGAAGACATCTGACATAAGCTTAGACGCCGGCCCAAACAAACACTCCATCGTGCGTGATGACACCAATCACAGTTGGAAAGGTGCGGTATGAGATCGATATCTCTCGAATCCCGCGCTTAGCATCCCTGGTCCTTACTAGCAATCCGAACTTATCTCAGTCCACGGAGATAATCCACGAGGCCATTCCTCTTTTTGACGTCGCCTTCAAAGGGATCGAATCGGGCTACCGGCAGTGTTTTCGATTGATGTCTACTGACATTACTTCATACCGCACCCTTTGTGATACATATGACTTTCTTCATGTCGACGTCTGTCAAGGACGGACGCTCAGTGAAATCATTAAAGATTTAAAAGCTGGGCAAGGTTACGATGAAGATCGCGATAAATCGAAAGCTCGAGACGCTGCCTTCAAACTTGCCTATTTCATCCAACAAGACATGTTTCAGAGCATTGAAAAGCACAAGAATGCCATCTTTAATGCCGTCCTGTTCGTCGTTTCTCATCATGGAACCTTCAAATGGAAGACGAGGAATGCTGTACGAGCAGTGTACGAGAGCAAGTTGACGTTATCAGTAAAGCAGAGTGCGAACCTTGACCAATGGCACAAGCTCGATTACGGCGAACAGGCTGACACGCACGAAGTCGATGGGACGACGGAGGAGGAAACTTCGGATTGGTACGACTCCGACTGTTCTGATTTCTGGTAGATCAAACAGAAGCTACAACGCCCAATCTTGAACCTAAATTACAACTTGAGCATGCATATTCGGTGTAGCTGCCTTGTTAGAGTTGTTTCAGCTTCCACCAATCTTACTTATTTGGCCAGCGAACAGGTGACGGCGAACTCTAGCAGAGTGATGTGAATAGCATGTCTTTGTGTTGGTGCCTTGATCTACGGATATATTGTGGTTTACCTTTATTCTTCAATCATCATTTTACCATAATACGTTACCGTGCATGACGGCGAAAGCGGCCACCTGAACACCAAAACAGCAGCCAAACCTGAGGCTGTAGAGCCTCACATACAAGCTATCATTGCAATTTTTTTCTTGCACAGGGATCCAAAGAAACCACAGCATATGTTGCGCAACAAATGTCGCTTTGGAGTCTTATTTGCTCGACTGTGTCGTAACTGAATAGCTGATGCGCCTGTAATAGCACTTTGAGGCTCTCTATTACCTATAGGCTTCATGATAGATCTCTTTCTTGAGATAGCTTTGGAAGAAGCCTTGAGTACGCTGTTAAGTGTCTGGCCAACGGCCTAACGTGTTCCACCGATAAGCTGGCCACCGCACCAAATCCTCGCGACTCGGCTTGCGCCAAAAACTATGACTCAACAACAGCGTCCTAAGCAGACCTCTTGTGAAGGTAGACTAAGTTTTGCGATAGTCTCCTATCAGAATAATCCACGTCAATCACTCTGATCGCTTGCGAAAGCATACGAGGTCCCAAGATCAACTCTGCAGACGTGCCTTCGCGGTACACAGCCACGACTAGAGCCAGTCTCTGTCAACCGCAAGCTATCAGCTGTCAAAAAGCAATCTCTCGTGCAGTGGATCCTAGACTTTGATCGACGAGGCTATACTTCCTCCCTGAATCAGCTTTGTGGCGACTGTTGTCGATACCCGTCGTCCATTTCGAGATTAGCTCGTCCCGGTGTCGCTGCACAAAGCGATTAACCCAATGTACTCCAATCTCTCTCTGTGAGATCTATAAGGCAAAGTTGCTCATCATAGCTCGTGTAGGAAATAGACCCTAATTTTTGAGGCGTTCGATATAGTGTAAAAGCTTTCGCTCCTGTTGTGGGTGGAGAGCCTGTCGATTTTGAGCCTCAAGGCTGCGCGTTACTGATTGGTGTTGGTGCCTTCGCGTGAGTGGTGTGCGATCACAACCATATACTTCCGAGAATTTTCTATGATTAAATTGTTCTTCGGGTTCTAGCGATTCTATAGCTGCAAACGCAGCCTCGATTGGGGTCATATCGGTGGAGTTATCGCGTGTTGAAGCTGAGGTGCTATCTGGTTGGGTGACACTGTTGGCCCGTCGGGCCGCTTGGACCGTCAAGCTTGGTAGGGCTTTGAACTGATTGAAGAAGTCAAAGGGTTCCCCGTCTGGCTTTGGCTTGCATTTCATTCATTCTACCTCGATGTATCGGATGATTATGATGGGTGATGATGAGTCATCTGGTTGCTCAACAGCCCTACCGCCTGCATGATCGCAACACTGTCCTAATGTTGAGTTTGTAACCAAATTCATATAGATATGTATAACATGGTTTACAAGCGAGCGCCGCGTACAAGCGAGCGCCGCACCCCACCAACTTTGCGCACCTCTACAGTCGTATATCTCAACAACGTGATAATATGATATATAGATATTTATATAGCAGATTAAGCAGTATCTTTAGTATCCTTCTTGCATGTACGTGAGTTGTGGCCAGTCTCCCTGCACCTCGTGCAGCGCGCCAGAGCCTGGCGGCTGAGTCTTGATCGCGCTCCTCCTTGACGCTCTTCACGAGAAATCTGCTGCTCAACCTCACGTTAAGCGAGTATATCCTCTCCCTCTCCCTTTGTTAAGGTCCCTCGCTTCTGTATACGCGCTTTTTTTTACGCTGTTTACGCGCTGAGGCTGCCTCATTAGCCCTCTCAAGGCTGGCAATCCGATCGCGCATCAGCTCAGCTGAGAGCATCATCACCTCAGCGCCCTTCTTAAGCTGGTCAATCGCTTCAATAATAGAGGCAGGCGATGAGCTCTTGTGCCGCCGAACGCGATCACGTATCAACGTTGATTGAGCCTCAAGCTCGCGTACGTTGCTCGGCGTACGCGCCTCCCAGAGGGCCTCTGGCAGGGCAGCTGGAGTAGGCGTACGCAGCTGCACGTCAAGCTTCGATAGTACAGTATCTAGTTGGAGAGGCACGAGGCCTGCGCCTCGAAAAGCTGAGCAGATATTGATTGATGTGAACGATCGATCAAAGGCTGCCTTGAACGCTGGCAGAAACTCGAGCTTGGTGATGTGGTTGATGTGGTGGCGGATCAGGCTCTCTACCTCACGACTGTACGCGTGCTTCAACGGCGAGAAGCAGCCAACGTCAAGAGGCTAGAGTAGGTGAGATGAGTGAGGTGGCATACAGAGCGTGTAGATGTTGTTCTCCTTGCAGAGCTCTTGAAACTCAAGAGAGTGGTGGCTCCCATGGCCATCAAGGACGAGCAGACGACGCGCACCAACAACGCGAGTCTTCGTGTAAGCGTTAAAGTGCTTTAGCCACTCAACTCCCAGCTCGTTATTTGTCCAGCCATTGTCGCTAATTGCAATCGCCTAGTCGCGTGGGATATCCTCCTCGTACCAGGCAGACAGGTGATACTGGCCAGCAAAGATAAGGAATGGTAGGATTGTCTAGCCAGCTGCGTTGATCGCAGCAATCAACTTTATCTACTCACGATTGCCTGGCTGAATAGCCTTTGGTCTGCCTCTTCTCTCTAACCCTGTCACGACAAGCTTAGTCGTGATCTTGCCTATCATAAAGCCAGCCTCGTCGAAGTTGTAGACGTCCTCATCGCAGATGCCGTACTTAGTCTTTGTCTCCTCTACAAGCTCAAACTAGCTCCTAATTAGAGCTGGATCCTTGGCTAGTGGACGCCGACCTGACCAGCGCCGCGCGTAGTCAGTAGCCTATTAGCTATATCACGTACAGCTTCGTACGTAGGCGCAAATCTACGCTGATCTAGGTCGAGTATATAGCTAATAATTACCTCCTCTTCTCTCTGGGTAAGCTTTCTTAAGTTAGGCTAGCAATCGCGTCGGGCAGGTACATCAGCGCGTCGGCGGCGGATCGTTCGTTTGGACACGCTATAGATAGCAGCAGCATTGCGATTACTCTGTATTTGATAAGATTTAATAGAGAAGATAGCAAGCTAAATATCTGCTTTATTTGAAGCTGGTAGAGTAGCGCTACGCTGAGCTATTGTACGTTAAGATGAGAGAGGTGCGCAAAGTTGGTGGGGTGCGGCGCTCGCTTGTACGCGGCGCTCGCTTGTAAACCATGTTATTTAGAATAATACATATGAACTACCATTGGAAAGAATTCCCGGAAAATCTTGATTGCTAAGGCTCGATAGCCTAATTTTCGGTGGTTGCAAGTAGTGGTTCAGGCCACACATATCCGGTGCTTCGCCGTCCGACACGGTGGCGCGGATAGACTTCTTGGTTACGACTGTATTTAGATCGCATGCGAAACATCATGCGACAGAGTAAGTAACGCCTTAGGTTTATCCTTCAAGCTCTCTATGTCTATAAGACTGGGTGGGAGATCCATGTCGTGACCTTGGTAGAAGGCTGCAAGTGCTGACAAAGTCGGCGCGACGGCATTACTGAGTTTCCTCAAGAGTGGCCCTTGCTTTTCTTCTAACAACATGGCAAATCCAGTAAGATCGTTCATGTTGACATCAAAGAGCCTAGTCTCGTCAGCCAGGTTCGTAGTGCTGTGACATATAGTGCACTCACATGTAATCTGTCAAAGAGAAGCCAGGAAAGGACGGTCCGGAAGGTAAGAGGACTAACACACCGGTTCCAAAGCGCTTTTTCAATATCTGCAGTCGTTTCCCTAATTGCCGAAAACGTTTGACTTTGGAATAAATCGTGGGGTATGCCTGGGACGTATTTTCTACACCGGGGACAATCTTGGAAATCAGGAATTTGATCTCGGCAGCATCCCGCCGCATCTGAGGATTCCCTGCCTGTGGTGTATTTCCGAACCCGAAAGTCTCCAAAGTTTCCACGTGCATGCTTTCACATGACTGAGAGGGTCGTTGTCCTTCCTCAAGAAGTTGTACTGCATAATACCGTTTCAGGAGGATACAAGTGGTTCTCTCGCTGTCTAGTCGACACATCATATTGAATGCCGTCGAGGCAGTCGAAGGAAAAGGGGACGATAAAGTAAAGGAGCGCCGCGCTTCTCTAGCGCCTTGAAGCTGACTGGCGAAGTCGGCAAGGGTATTCCAGCTGCCGACTGCCAGATACAAAAACCTGAATAGGTGACACGGATCTCTGAGCTGAGTAGTCTGTGGATACTCCAGGTATCTCAGTAGTTTGGTGCGTTCTGGTTCTGAATACGCATCGATCTTCTGTCGTTCTGCGTCTAGCAATGAATCAAGCACTGCACTGACTTTGTCTCTCTCTGTTTGGGCTCGTTTAATTTTCCTCTGCAGAGAGCCTGTAAGCTGTGCCCCCACTGAGTCCTCAGACTCTCGGCCGGGCAAGGCTCGTTTCGACGTCGTAGTGATAGATACGCCACTATCAGCTGTCCTGGGCATTATAGATTCTACGACTGTTTCCTGCTCAACCGAGAACACAGGTTGTACACCCACACCCTGTGTTCCAGACGATAATGAGCTGACAACGTTTTCCTGGTCATGATCCTGACTAACAAGTTCCGTGGCGTCCTGTCCTGGAAAAGGCTGCTGCTCTAGAATGAACCATTGGGGCGACGATTGTTCGACTGCTAGACCGTCAAGTCCTTCCGAGAAAGAGTCTGGCGGAAACACAGAAAACGATTCGTATGTTTCAAGATTGCCTGAAGCTTCTGTTGTGTCCAAATCGCTTCCTAAATTACCGTCCAATTTTTCGTGCGTTACTGGTCCCGTTGGGAAGACTTGTGCGCTATTCTCAGCAATAAGTGAGCCATCTTGGTCGCCGCCAGCTGCCGTCGATAGATTGAGGATGGTGTTTATCTGACTCAAAATTCCTGAAATTGTGTTACAAGTGTCGCTAATGCTTCTGTTCTGAGCTTGACAGTCGAGCCAGACAGCACCGATCACAGCATTAAGTGCGAAATTCAGCACTTCCGGGGAAAGCACTTGCCCGGTTTGTCGAGCACTCCGGACGATGTGTAACTCAAGTCCCAAGGCTTTGCATGCTTTTGCTACTTGCTTCTTGTCTTTCCACCAATATTTGCGACTATTGATGTCGGCTGTACGCATTATAATGTGTTCGGTTGCTCGTTCAGAAGAGTGCTTACTCAATCGCGCATTCTCGACCATAACAGCATAGCAGGTTTCTGCCATCTCAACGGCTATCTGCCCAATCCGGGCCATTCCTCTGTTACCGTCATTTGCAACGCCGTCCTCTTCGCTTCTATGGGCTGCGACAAAAGCACTGGTAAGATGCTCGTCGTATGTGAACTCATAGCCTATCTTGCGTTGAACAGAGTCCATGATCGTTTACAGCTGTTGAGTTGTGATGAAACTGGAGAAGCGCAAACTTAAATGGCTTGCAGAATGCTCATATATTAGTATCTATCACGTGCTATAGCTTTGTATCCAAGCATACGTATCATACCACCTTTCGCAAGATCGCCACATTGGCACAGCAGCGTCTATCGAGTGCCCAATTGCCAGACAGACAAAACGCAAGCCACTGCGTATGTTTGTTTTGAGTTGATCGAATATCGAAAGATCGCCTATCGTCGGCGCCTGCCCACACGAGGGTTGGGACATTGCTCGCTCGTAAGTGGCTGCATGGAGTCTGATGCGCAGCTATGACTCACTGATGCTGCGATCCGATTACGTGCTCCACTAGCACAGGGATATCTTGACCGGTCACGGAAATGACTGTCTCTAGGAGCTCAACTCTACTTGTCTCATCGATGTAGCTGCAAACTCGATGCAGTACTCTTCGTGACTAAGGCGGGGCAAGGGGTCGATGACTCGATCGGTAAGAGTTTGTGATCCATGCCATTGGAAATTTCACTTTATGGCTGATTGCTAAATATCGCTCCTCCGATAAGTGTTCAGCTGGAGGACTCAGTAAGCCACAGTTACACGACAGCTTTCCGCATGCATACATCAATGCATGGCGTGATCATCGCCGACACGATACCACTTATGCGATTTGTAAATATTGGTAACGCGTACGCTGGTAAATACGTCTCCACATCGGGATCTTAGAATCTGCAATATCTCTATAAGTTCTAACCCGATCTAGACGATTAATAGCGTATTCTATAGCCTTGATCTAGTTCTATATTTTGTATATAGAAAGTATCTAGCTAGCTACTTTAGCTAGCTAGATATCTTAGATCGGAACTAAATGTGGAGACCCAACTCTTGGCAACGTGGGTTAGCTAATAAATTTTTATTTATCAGACTTAGAGAAAGACTTTCTATATATAAAATATAGATCTAGATCAGGGCTCTAAAGTAAACTATCAATCGTCTAGATCGGGTTAGAACTTATAGAGATATTGCAGATTCTAAGATCCCGATGTGGAGACCCATTTACCAGCGAATACCAGCCTCGCAAACTATCACTGTGGCGTCTTGCATTCTCAACCTTGACTTTGCCCACTCCTCCGTTCTTGCTAGTGCTTTGCAGGCGTCGAGTCTAGTATATTCTTTCGCATATACTAGCGTGTCTAGCGCTGATCGATTTGCAAAGAACCACTGATCCTTCATCTGCTCTTCGGTTTGGTACTGTCTCAGCAGAATGTGCATCTGTAATTGAAGGCCTCAAACACTGTCATATAGGTCTGTTGCCTGAAAACCCTTCTCTTGCATGATAAATCGGGCAGCCTCTTCGATGATAAACGGCTGGTCGATTCCGTGAGATGCTGGGTCGTGATCGGAGTAGAATGCCCTCAATGTTTTGAGAAGAGTCGTCTTTCCACTACACTGAGGTCCTATCAAGTAAAGATTCGATTGTTTTGGAGGCTCGCTTCTGTTGCTAAGGGTTTCGACGCTCGTAGACAAGGTGGTATTAGTGTTCTGGCAGGGCTCAGTCATTCGCTCAGATCCACGGTTCTATAGCATTCAATCTGCCTAACACGTCATATCTTTGATTATGAATTTGATTGGCCTTTTTAGAAGTGTATGACGCACTGCACGGCACACAGTATCACACGACCTTTATCTTCCCGATCCCTGATGGGTCTTATGATTTCACCATTGTAATTCTTGTTCATCTAGATCACACGTACTGGTCGGTCTGGCCCAGTCGTATACTCCTCCACGGTCCCTAAAGGCCTTCTCATCCCAGTATACGCTTCGAAGTGCTTTCTTGACCCCAATGTCAAGGATCGATTCAGATGGTTGACGTCCGTCGCGGTCTAGAAACCTCAAGTACTCGTCGAGAATCAGATACGACTTGGTCATCATTTGGTTAGACTCTGGCACGAGTGACGTCTGGGTCGTGTGTCGTCTGCAAAAGCTGTCATATTCCTCATCGGTGATGATGAACTTGCGGGCATCTCGGAGTGTCTTCCCAGAGTCGTTTTCCCCTGCAACGACCAAGACTTGGAAGCACTTCCAACGAAAAGGCTGAAGCTGTTCGATATGCCTGTTCATATCTTCATTCCAATTGAGTCGACATACTACAGTGTTAATCTTGAACTTGATGCCATACTTCTTGCACCAGGAAGCAACCTTGTATAGCTGCAAGATCTGGTCGCCGGATCCACGGCCGATCTGAATGTTGGTAGACTCGTTGAACGAATCGCACGAGACCGCCAAGATGTCAATTTTGGAGCCACACCGTCGAAAGAAGCTCTCCTTCACCAGACTTCCATTTGTGACGATAGAGACCGACTCGAGTCGTAATTCATCTTTGCAAAAAACCACCATCTCAGCCAGGAACTTTGGATAGAGGAATGGCTCTCCGCCAGCAAAATTCAGCTTCCGCATGCCTGCTTCCTTGAGCAAAGAAAGCCCGTTTTTCGCGCGATCGGAACTCTCCATGAAAGAGGAGGTGGCAGTATGAAAACAGAATCCACACGTTTTGTTGCAGCGCCTCGTAAAGTGATAGTTGACAGCCACAGGGCATACGGTGCGATGATTGGTGTAATGCAGGTACAAGAACGTGATACCAAGCAGCAGCAATCCATAGTAGATTGAGATGGAGTCCATTGTTGGAGTGTGAACAAAGAACTGAGCTGGAGGAAGCAAGTTGAATGCTGGAGATGTTCACTTGCTGCCATAGAATTTATTGATGCACATCGATGCTGTCTACCGATGACGTGTGGATAACCCCGCTTTTGCGTGGCATAAATGGAGGGCTGTGAACTCTTGCCGTCAGACAGTGTTATTTCTCCCGGCTAACATCCTTACAAACTGCCATGGAAATTACTGCAAAAACTGTCGTCTTCGTCATTGGTACGTATGCAAGATTCTAAGTACGCGACTAAACTCTACAGGAGCCCCTGGTTCTGGAATGGGCACGCTGTGCCGAAGACTTTCTGATGAATACGGATTCTGTCATTTGTCTATTGGAGATACGTTAAGGAGACTTGTCTCCGGCTCGATGATGGACCGAGTTACGACATCTCGGGTGCAGAGAGGCGAGCTCGTTTCCACAGAGGTGTTGATCAACATTCTTCAAGATAGCATCAAGGATAATGTTTGCAGCGGCCGTCACTTGATCCTGGTAGATGGTTTGCCAAGGCAGTTGGATCAGGCTATGCCTGTGGAAAAGAAAGTTAGTATGCCTAACTGCTGATGCTCTCCCTCAGCGTATTGATTTGTGGTAGATTGGCTCGCCAGGATTGGTCCTGTTTTTCAACTGTCGTGAAGAGGTCGCCAAAAATCGCTTTCTCACGCGAAAATTACCCGGAAGAGAAGCGGATGATGCAGCCATCTTCTAGAAGAGATACGATGAGTTCACTGTGGAGAACTCCAAGATCTTGAAGATGTACCAGGAACGAAACCTTCTTATCGAGGTAAGATTCGTCGTGTAGTTCTTATCGATGCTAAATGGCGGTCAGGTTGACACGAACGGAGAGGCGGAGATTTCGTACAAAACCCTAGTGAACAGCTTGAGTAACACCAATTTGGCACATTTTCTCGTCAGAATGACAGAAAGTATATGCTGAATACGTAATGGAAAAATATGATGTGAGGGACAAAACAGGCATGTTTGTCGGTCACGTGACTGCTACTAAGGGTTTCCTTTTTGTGCAGTTAGAACCAGTTTTATCAAAGAGCAATACCACTACCCTGCTTTTCACTCATGCTTTGCGTCTTTCTTGCTAAGACTTGCAATCGTAGCTTCTAGCATTTTCCATGTTTCCGAAAGCCATATCTCAAACCTTTCATCTGGAGGTGGAGCGCAAGTTTTGCGGGCTTGCAGTCACAGATCTTACCCTTCACGTCGGGAACCCACCATTCTGGAGCATCCAGTCACAGGGCCAGCGCATGTTCAAGGACACTTATTTCGATCGGGCTGGACTTCTCGCGGCGGCAGGTGTATGGATCAGGCTACGCAATGGGCAATGGGAAGCTAAAGTGAGAAAGGGTGGCGACTTCCAAAATTCGAGGTTCGAGGAGCTGTCTGATGCTCGCAAAATTGGGGAGCAAGTACACACTATTACAGGACAAGTAGGCAGCGAGCGCGAATTTTTTGGCCTCAATCGTGTTGCAAACATGTGCACGACAAGAAGAACGTGGCTGGCGGACGAGAGGTTCACGATTGTGCTCGACACAATGGACTTTGGGCATGAGGTCGGCGAGGTCGAGCTGCAGTCAGAAGTCCATCTCGCTTATACCGGCCAGGCGCTAGAGGACCACAAGCAGATGGCAATGCAGCAGATGGATAAAGAGATTGTCGCTTTCATGGAACGTTATCGGTGGGCGTTTGCTGCTGGTGTGCCAATAGGAAAGCTGACAGCCTACTTCCAACGCGACGCCGCAGGCAAGTTGTAGGCGCATGGTGCGGCGCGGGTACTGGGTGGCCCCACTTATCATAAGTTGTGGGACCGTACCGTAAGTGCTGCGAGTCACATCTACCGCGCTAAGCTGTGTTCGACTGTTTGCGAACATGAGCTGTCGCAATACCCACAATAGGTTAGCGTCGCTATTCGTGAATGGAGGTTCCTACTGCGCTAGTTCTGGGACAGAGTTGTACGCCCCATGCTGTGCTTGATACTGTCTGTGCGTTCGCAACGCACCATCGGCATCATTGAGCACACACACACACACATGAGATTGTTGAGCCACGTGCAAAAGTTATCTTATCTAAATTCTCAGGTGAAGTGATCTATAGGCCTATGCGACAAACTCTGCTACCAATGTTTACGTGGCTAACGTATTCTGCCGCCGTGACTGTTGACTGTTAGTGGAGGTGCAGAGGGCGGCTCATGGACAGTAGAGCGACGTGCACCACCTCTAGCACCACAAGAACGCTGTACAGCTGGTTCTCCAGCTGTCAAAGCCTTGCGCTTGCCTTCTACGGCTATTTGTACAACTTCACGAGAGTTACGAACGTGTCTTGTGCTTTCTTTCTGCCTTGCGTTCGTCGATTGTTTTGCGCTCTTCAGCTCTCTTTTTATCACTCTCCTTCTCCTCTCTTGCACGCCGCACACGTGCTTGCTCATCACGCTTATCCTTAAGCAGCTTTTGAGTCTTCTTCAGCTTACGTTCACTAGCTTACGCTGCTTCTTGTTCAGTTGCATAGCCCTCATATGCTGCCGAACTTCAGCGCGGCGGGTGCCTCCTATCATGTGATCTTGCGCTTCGCCACACTACTCCATAGTCTCATGTGTTCTTGGCCTACGCGACTACTGGTTCAGAATCTTGACTCCATGCATCTATCGCTGCGAGGTGGGTGAACCAATTGTATAGTATTTGATAGCTATGTAGTGCCGCTCCTGCAATTACTTTCCAGATGAGTATCTACTCTGACCATTCCCTGAGTTGTAATATGTTGTGCCCTGTTCATGTCAGCACGACAGTCAACGGTGTTACGAAAGCTGACAGCCTACGTTGGGATTGCTGTAGTAATAGGATCCGTTGCTATTAGAGTAATGGTAGGAGTTTTGATTTGAGGCATCAGAGCCATAGTCGCGTGAGCAATAGTGGTTGCCCTGGAGTTCCGCACGTGTGAGATGTCTTAGAAAGCTTTCTGACGGAGTTATGCCCTTACCTGGCTGTTGGTACCAGAGCTGGTTGTCGTGTATCCGCCTCCGCCGGAGCTCGATTGAGAATCACCAGAGGTCGAAGATCCTTTTGTCATGATGAGATCTGATCGCAGGAGCAAGTGTGCTGGAAAAGGGCTTGGAGTGACTGTGGAAGGCTTGGACTTTGATTTTGCAAACAACCAGCGCGGGGTCAGCACATATATTCACTCCGATAGCAAATCGGCCCGACTTGCCACCCCCTAGCTGCATACCTGGTTATAATATGGTTGTTTGGATAGCTGGCTGAGCAGACGTCAGCATACATGGGCATATCGTTTTTTGGAAAACAGGTTAAGCAGCCGTTAGCGTACCAAAGCCGTTTTTAGCCAATGAAACAGAGGCTGTCAGTAACAATGTTTTCTCCGATTGGTAACAACAGAGTTTGGTACGCTAACGGCTGCTTAACTTGTTTTCCAAAAAACGATTTGCCCATGTATGCTGGAAAGGGCTACGGGCTCTCGAACGGCTGGGTGCGGAGACTATAGACACGATGTTTAGGAAGAAAGTATGCCGTGCTGATTGTACTGTTGCATTCTTGCTCAGCTTATGAGGCAGCCATCGCACGGTGTTGTTAGCAGTAGGGTTCATGGTCCCAACAGCGCTTCGCCTACAACAACGTGCCTGGCGTCCCCCTACTGTTCATGAGCCAACCTCAGCTGCCGCCCACCCACATCAGCACTCGCAGCCACAAAATGCTAAAACCACGCAGGTCCTGGTAAGATTGCTCCTCACAAAGAGAGTGACGTATTCAGGCGCCCAAGACCTGCATCAGTTCTCTCGAGGCGCTCACCACTGGCAACACCTTTTACGCGAAGCTTGTCTGTTCATGTCATAACTTTGGCGCTGGCCGTGACGCCGACGCTAACGCATCTAGTCACTGACTGGAATCGAGCGCTAGTGGCAAGGGGCGGCTGGTTCCGCACCTCCCACCTCGGACCGGCTCTAGCCAAACGGTGGACGCGGACCGGCTTGCGCGTCCCGTCATGTAACCCCGCAGTCGGCTTCAACCGCGCAGGTGGTAGGGTTGATCACACCAACGCACTGAAGCTAGAGGTTCGTGGTGCAGTACAATTGTAAGCAGAGTTGCTAACAATCAATCCAAATTGATGAAACTGACTGACTGACTAATTGCTTGGCAGTCAGTTCAGTGTCAGTTTGGAGTTCTCATCTTATCAGTCAGTTC